GTCCGCCTTGCCGTTTGCCTCAAATTATATCGGTGTTGGACGTGTGACCTTTGACCTGCCCGTTCGTTACCGACCACATTTCGTCTCCCGGAGGTTGGCTGCTGTATATTTCATCTTGCGCGTATGTTCCAGCACCTCACTGGAGTAAGAAAACAGACGTGAACTAGAACTGCGAGTATTCCCAATGCCTTCCATAGACTCTGTTAATTGATTCACTCATTTGACATACTGATAAAACAAATGTTAACACCCTTCCAATTTTAACAGGAACATCCTTGCTGCCTTTTCCCAGTGTACTACCATATTAGATACTTACCTAATTTACCCACTAAACTTTTTGTTTCGACGTAACTAACCTTGGGTCAATTGGACATACCCATCTGTGTAGTTCGATTTTCTTCACTTCGCGTATAAACAGGCGAAGTTTTCTCGTATTTCGTTCTTTTTGGTAGGATAACGATATGCACACCATCGTTAGAAGTTTGTGTATACTCCGCACTCTTACAACTTCTTTTTCCATGCATATAAATATTAAAATATCTCGTTACTCAACGAAACTGTTCGACATCTGACTATTATAGGAGACAGAAAGATCCACCTCCTCGATCCTCTCAAGACAACTGGATCTCCTCGAAGCAACAATGGTTCGCTCCTGTAAAAATGATCTCCGTTCGAGTTCTCATGGTCAGCTGGCCAAGCAGGATAAACTCCCCCTGCCTCTTACTCTGGGCGAGGGAGGCAGTCAGCTACCGGCTTCAGCAACCTCTCCAAACTTGGCCTCGGAGTCTTCAAAGAGCACTGAGACGGCAACAGCAGGAGCCACAAACCTAGTCGAAACGGAGTCCTTGTCCAACAACATAACTGATGCAGAGGCCCTTTCCATGGGACTGTCAGCGCAGACACTAAATCTTCTGCGGAAGCAGTTAAATATGCAGGAGACGGAGACACGCATTGCTCTATACCAGATCCACCGACTAATGACGCAACTTAGACTGGAGGCAACCGCCCGTCTGGAGGGTCAGGTATGGCACCCGCACAACTCACTATCTTCTGCCCATAGCGTTTATTATCGTACTACGCCTACTTATTTAATTTAAGTAGACGTGATTTCTTGGGATTGTGTTCTGGGCGTAGTATTGACAGTTTCTTATCGTACTGCTTACTTCAGAATGATTGGTTCTTTTGTGTCCTTTATCATGTCAATTCTTCCATCTTTTGGCTTGTGTTGATCTTGAATATAAGGTCTGCCTGCATCTCTACCATTTCAGCACAGAATTGAGCAGCTGCTTTATCAAAATCGCAATCTGTCGGAGGGCTTCCATGAGATGTCGCAACGTCTGCGACGACTGGAACGCATGAACTCTCGCTCAGGTTCCACCTCTGGACGTCTTGCTGATTTCACCGAGCGTATGGACCTTCCGGAGGTGCCACGTGAAACAAACGGCCATGCAGTAAGTCTAGTGAGGACTGTTTCCTTTTGACTGGATTTCATAACAAACCCAAATATTGTTAGATCAAAATGAATAGAGTATGCTTCAGTAAAAATAGCATATAGGTAACGATGCGGCCTTATTTACCTTTCATAAATGCTCACTTTCTTCGTGGTAGTAAGCACGTTTTGTTTAACTACTTTAATTGGCCTCGGTCATGTTGTTCTCTGTGGGCTGAGATGTAAGTTGACGCGTGGCACACATAAACGCGTTTTGTGTCAGGCTAGTCATTGCTGCAAAGTTGCTTCTATTCAGCAACTGGAACTAGAACGAGATAACCAACTTTCCTTCCTCGACGTCCACTGTCCAGACTGACAGATGGCTCCATTTCACGGAGGGTCTTCTACAAGAATATCTGGAAAGGTCACTACTTACATTATCTAAGTTGGGTTCCCATTCAATGGAAACGTAATTTGGTATGTACCTTTTTCCAGAGGACTTGTAAAATCTGTTCTGTGGACACTTTGGACGCAGAATTAGGCCGTCTCAAAGATACCATACTGAATATAGCAAACTCTTGCGACCAAAAATAAGCGCACTTTTAGCTCCAAGAAAGCCAGTATTTGTATCCTTGCCCTTTAAGAGTGATAACATTGTAAACACTATCAAGAGACGCCTACTCAAGGCCATAGAAAGAACCTTTTACGCCACTCAGCTCATATTCTGCTCTCAAACTAAGCCCCTGCCAATTCCTTGTGCTAAGGATGCCTTACCTTTGCACGCCACCTCCAATTGCGTTTATGGATCCACATGCACTTGTGGATGCAAGTGCATGGGGCGAATGCAAAGGCAATTGGCAGCCAGAGCCAAGTAACACCTGCCTAGTTGGTTATTCAAGCAGGAGAACCGGTTCCCTCGTTCCTCCAATACCGAACACTTGCTAGACACGGGT